CGAACTTTCTTTTCCGTGAGAAATGCTTTAAATACTCCATCCGTATTTCCTATGGATCAGCATATTCCGCCGCGAATGCATATTTGAAATTGGCGAAATATCTTCTTGTGAAGTCTTCCTTTTTGAAGATTGTCAGTCACAAAAAATTGTTTGCTCAATTGTAAGAAGAGATGTGAAAAAATGCAGGCGATGATGAGGTGAAAAAAGTCTGGAGAGAAAAGTTGAGGATGAAATTTTATAACTTGCCGATCCATTTGAAACAATATCCGGAAAACTGATTCAGAATTTCACAGATATTTTCTATGCATGTCAATATCAATATCAAATTGCTTTTTTGGACGCGAAAAAATGCCTCCCTAAAGGTCAAAAGCTCCCCTCGCGTATACTTGCTACCAGAAATCGCCAAAAAATATATAATCAGTATATAGGAATGGGCATGAGATTATTCACAGAAACAGTTAAGACCCAAATACTTGTCTTTGGAATGTATCCCTTCTCTTTAATCTCTCTCCAAGTTTACTTTCTTCCTGTCCATCATAGTCCTGCAAGCTTTCTTTCCCATCCCAACGGCTTTAAATATACTCAATCCGTCCAGTATTTCATTCCCCCAAATGAAATATACTGAATGAATATTTCATTCCCTCAAATGAAATGTACTGCAATATTCCCAGCAGTACTGCTGGATATATTGGCAGAAGGTTCTCTTTTTCTGAATGCAATGTGTTCTCCCTTATTTCAAATGACAAAAAATTGAATGATTGCTGAGTGATGCTGGCGCGGGTTGTTTGTCAATAGTGTCCGGAATCGCGAGAAAGAAAGACATCTTTGATGCAGTGCTGATTATGCAAAATTCGAAAAATCTTGCATAGATTCTCCTAAGTACTCCATACCGTGTGTGAATGATCCGGAACTACATAGTGCATTATGACGAACGTAGAAATATATTATGACAATACAGTGCAGTATTGAATTTCAAAGATATTATATTATTTACTTCGATAAGGGCGAACTTTTATTCTTAGCATGAATAATCTGAAATCTTCAAGCTTATTTATGGCTATACGTTTATTCTATCTATAATAAGAAAGGAATTCCGCAAGTACGTAGCTGTCTTAATCCAAGTGCTGTGCTATGACAACTGAATCTGCAAAAGCAGTTGTACATTACGATTATTATGCGACTGTTTGTGTAGCATTTATTATAGACTGTCGTGTTAAAATTTTGAATGTACTCTACTTCTCATGGATGGAGATTGAAAAAGACGAATATCATGCTGATTTATTTTTCGGATGCAGGTATCACTCAAATTCGTGTCATGGAAAAGACGCAGATATTAGTCTTGGTGAAACAGATTGTTAAGTATGCTGATGAACAAATCGGTGTGGGGGGAATTGCCGTGTTTGGGCTTGACAAAATTCCGTTTGGAGATCTCCCTGAGGAATTCTGAGATGAATTCCCACCGCGGGATATACTGCTTTTCAAGAACACATCGGGAGATAAGGTGAGAGAAAATTTTTGAATGTTTTGCCGACTATATTTTTTGAAAGGAGTGCTGAATACTATGCAGTAAATGCATAGCATGCATCGAAGTTCATAGAAAATTGGACGGTTGGCTACATGTCCCATCCAGCCCATGCTGAACCGTCAGTTCAATCTATTTTTAGTAGATGTCGCGTATGCATGGAGTCAAATGCTGTTCAAGCGTCCCTGTCGTGTTTAATTGTTTTTGTGTGTCAGCTTTTATTTTTTTCTTTTTATTAATTCAATATTTTTTTCTCTGTCACTGCTTCACCATTCAGCGAGGTGTGAATCAAGCATACGAAGTGTGGCAGAAGCTACTCGGTTGGGGTTTCCGTGAGCAACCCCATAATGGTTTCAACGGGATTTGGAATGATGGATGGTTTCGCTGCAGTAATTTACGTTTCACTCACTATTTGTTTTCCGCGTACGGAAGATCCGTCCCAAGCGCATTGGGTGACAAGCATCCGACCTACGTGAATTCGACCTATCCTCCAAAACCCTTCTTAATGAGCTTATTAATCCTCTCGTTTTTCCAAGACGAGCATCTGACCCATGACTTAATCCCTATCTCGCGCGCCAAGCTTTCGACCTATCCTTTGTGTGGAACCAAGAAAACAGCTGCGAAGTTAAATAACAATTTTATTTCCAACGAATTCATGAAATAACAAAATGAAAACTAAAAATTGATACGGTAATAACAAACAATCTGAGGTACGGTTCAGTGCAGTAAAAACAGA